AAAAAAAAAAAAAAAAAAAATCACTAAGGCTTTAAGATGCCATCATGGAACAATAATATACAATTAATATTAGAATAATACCATATAAGTGGTTAATCCTTAAACCTGGTCTGTATTTCAATATCTTCCTATCACTGTTTTTTCTTATCAATTTGATTATTATATTATGGTAAATTGCAACTTCATCTACTGAAAGCACTGAGTGCCTGGCAGGAAACAACTCTGGGTAACTACAGTACAGAGTATGCCAATGGACACCGAGGGCAGAAATTCCTCATTATCTACCCCATTATCTCTCCCAACACCAGTCCCAGATTTTTTACTGGGGGGTGGGAGGAGTTCTATTTTAGCCTACACATATTATGATCCTTTTACCTCTCTAAGAAATCTCCTGACTCCAACCTTCCCCCTCCGCCACTTCACAGGCATTATCGGTACTCAAATCTCCTAGACTAACAATGACTTCTTTTAAAGGGAAATACATGTGAAAAGTCAAAGAAAATAACTGTAGCAAATGAATGTCAAAGTCATTTTCTAGGCTCCTCACAAAACTTAGGATTTCCTAAAGTCAAATGCTTCTCATTAAGGAACTTAAGATAGCTCTCTTCCTCTGTTAAGTACTTCTAAATACATGCCCATACAGACTGCATTCTCCCAAAAGAAAAGGAATCTCTACCTTTGCATAGTGAATTGTTTGGCCTCCAAAGATATGTTTATTAATCTCAAGTAGTGAGAGACTCTGAAAACTTTTCTTAGAATTTTCTAGTGTCACCCAGGCAATCACTTTTTTGTTTTTTTGAGACAGAGTTTCACTCTTGTTGCCCAGGGTGAAGTGCAATGGCATGATCTCGGCTCACCGAAACCTCTACCTCCCAGGTTCAAGCGATTCTCCTGCTTCAGCCTCCCTAGCAGCTGGGATTATAGGCATGTGCCACTACACCCGGCCAATTTTGTATTTTTAGTAAAGACAGGGTTTCTCCATGTTGGTCAGGCTGGTCTTGAACTCCTGACCTCAGGTGATCCACCCGCCTCAGCCTCCCAAAGTGCTGGGATTACAAGCATGAGCCACCACGCCAGGCCACGAAAACAGCTATATGCTTTTTTAATGGAAGGATTGAACATGGATTAAAAATAACTCTTTAGGTTCTATGATGCATAATTATGTGAATGAAGTGTTTCATCCATTGAACTAATAATGCCTTCTGAAAATGTACTGTTGTCAAATCTCAGGCATATCATTCTTTAAATGCTATTTCCCTACCCAACACTCATCATGGGTATAAGAAGAAACAAGATAAAAGTGAAGATACATTACTCAAAACAAAATTATCACATCCCTCTTAGACCTCTTCAGTTGATTCCATTCTGGTCACTTGCCCCAGAATCTATACTTTATAATTCACCTGGTTATATAGCTAATAAGTATATTTAGTATATGTATATAATCTTGTATATTATAAAATACTATTTTATCATCGTTAGCTATTCAATAAGCATTTACTGATTGCCTACTATGTGCCAGGAGCAAAGCCTACAAAAACAAAACAGCAAGTGATGCATCCTTAAGAAACAAAGTGAGAAAGAATCAAAAAGTAATATGAAGTATTTATCATTACTTATTTGATCATGGTAAATTCTGTGTAATAAAGTACTATGAAAATTCAAAGAATGAGCAAAGGTGGTTCAGGTCAGACCTCTCGATTCTATTAATTCACATCTACCCTGAAGCAAAAAGTATTGATTTTACTTAAAAGAAAATTTGTTAATATATTACCTTAGCTGGTTATAGCCAACCAGAGAGCATCAGTAATAACAGAAGGAGTATTACTGGAGTGAAAGCATAGCATGGTAGTTAAAAAATGTGCATTCTAGAACCACATGACCTACACTGGAATATTAGCTCTGCCATTTACTAACTGTAGCACCCAAACAACTTCTATGTGCCTCAGTTTCCTCATCTATAAAATAAGATGACTAATAAAACCTATTTGGTTGTGCAGTTCAATAACAGCAATTGTTTGTACTAGTAATTAAACTAGTAAGTTTAATAGTAGTAATAGTAATAGTGAACATCTACTTCACAGAATAGTTGAGGATTCAATGAGTAAATACATATAAAGCATTCAAAATGCATGACTCCTAATAGATGTTCATGAAGTATTAACAATGCTGACAAAAAAATTATTGTTGATATAATGGAACCAACGGCCTCATTACTCGTTTTTGGACTGCATTATTTTCCAACTTAAGTAGTTTTATAAATCATGGGTTAATTCAGTATTATTAAGGACAGAAATTCTGGAGGCAGCCTGAGTTGAAATTTGATGTCAACACTTACTATGTGCCCTTCTCCCTCAGTTTCCTCTTTTATAAAAGAAGATAACAAAAAATAACCTATATCATAATATCGGTAGAGTTTAATTAGCTAATAAAGCACAAGAAAACCACCTATTAGGCAGTACTTAAAGACTCAACTATCATTCTTTTTCTTGCATATGACTGAATGAAGTAGCAGGGTAGGACTTTAGAATAAACAAGAATTTTTCAGGTTAAACACTGCTTTTAGTAATTTACAAAATACTCTCTACAAGAAAACTACAGCAACTTGTCACTGAAAAAGTACAGCACATTTTTAGCTAAAGAATCTTATGTAGCAATACACAGGCCATGAAACCAAAAGGAAAACAAACAGCAAATTGATCACTTAGGTGGAAAACAGCACTACACTAAAAGGAAATCATTAGACTTGGATTTCAGCCCAGCCTTTGATTGATGCTAACTTCTCCTGCCCTCAGTCTAGTACATCACTTCTGCAGGTTTTGGCGATTCCTGTTTGCCATTAGACATACATGTAAGGTAATTTTTAAAGGAAATAAGGATGGCAAAGGAAAAAACTCACTATCGACTTTGAAAGACTTTTCATGGCTAAACAAGCAATCTGAAATTCTCCCTTAAAATAGATAGGACTACGAAGACTACATCTCATAGAAACACACCATTCAAAGCACGTGCGAAAGGATTCTCAAAGGCAGTATCTGTAAACACACAAAAACGACAAGTAATAAAGCTGTTTTCATTCAAGTTTACGAAAAAGCCCACTAAATAAGAAAGCAAAGAACACAAACCACACCTCCGGGTAAAAGCCGAGGTTACCACGGGCTTTCACGACGACGAACCTGATGCCTAAATTACCTTTTCCAGCATCTTCCGCTCTCTCTCTAGTCCAGCAGCTTCAAGCTGTTCTTCCTCTTCGAGCATGGCCGGGGTAATCACGGCAGTGTCCAGCTGTTCAACCATTGCTGGAGCCTGGGAGCCTGACGGGAGAGAAAGCTTCCAAATTGCAGTTTTTAAAAAATTACTAACTACTCAACTCCAACATGAAACAGCCCTTCTCCCACCCGAGATGCACTGGAGCACAAGGTGAAGACCCAGGGGACGCCAGCATCACCTCTCAGAAGACACCGTAGGTCTTCGCAAAGTCTACAAGTGCCTGGACCACAGTTTACAACTCGGGATGCTCGGAAAATGCACTTCCCTATGTGAAATCTTCACCGGCATGCTAATATGTGCAATTCCAGGGTCTCCTCCACTCACCGTGGCAGTTTCCCAACCCTCTCTTCCTCCTCAATCCCTGCCCGGGTTCGGCTCCCTCCCCCAAGCTCCGCCGCAGTCTCCATGCTTGCCCACCTCAGCCCCGCATGCCGCCACCCGCGCCCGAAAGAAGGTTCTCCTCACTTACCGCAGCTGCCCGCGGGCCGTTCCGCTGGCATGCCTGGACACGCACCCGGGAACCGGGTCCCCTCCACTCAGCGCCTGCAATGCCGCGAGCTAATTCCTCACAGCCTCTGCCGGCCCAGCCTTCTCGCCAAATCCCCCGCCAGGGAAAAAAGCGCGCTTCTACTTCGCGGGAAAATCCTGTCATCTCGCGATACGTTACATTCCCCGCCCGCCCTCCAGCCCCGCTGCGCGAGATTTGGCGCAGCTTGCGGTTTTCCTCAGACTGACCCGTGGCGACCGTGAGCCTGTACCCGGACCTCTGCCGGGAGGAAACTGGGTCCTGGTGCCGAACTCAGCCTGTAATTATCCTTTGAGATTGGGCGAGGCGGCCGATCGTGGAGGACCCAGTTTCCTCACATAACTGATGGTTCCGAACTACGCAATTAAAATTTGATAGCGCTGTTAATACTTTGCAAGGCGCCTTCACACGTTGGCTGCTGTGATCGAGCACCCCCTAGCCCGTGATCCTATAGGTGGAGAAGTCTGCGTATCCGCACAAGGATGTCAGAAACATTTTTATAGGGCCAGCCTCGCCGCACCCGCAGCGCGCGGCTCACATCTTGAGTGAAAATCCCCCAAAATGACCAGGAGGAGGGCTTTTTTGTGGGTGGGACGGGAGAGAGAAGGAACAGGATATTAAGATTATGACTGGGTTAAAGAAAGCTGTTTAGGGTAAGGGCGAGCTGAAAGCAGTGATGGACCAAGCGGAGTGGCCAGCAGAAGGAAGATTCAGGAAACCAAACAGGATTCATTCATTCGAGTGGGCAGTGAAGGAAGGAGTGGAGCTTTTCTTGCCCCTGGTTTTCACTTCAGCTTTCAATTCCTCCTTTTCTTGTTTGCATTCCTTTTCAACTATTTCCTTTGTCTCCCTCTCCAGAGCTCCCTTTCCCACCTCCAATTTCTTAGGACGTATGGCATTAAATATACCTGCCATGTAACCACCTGTTTCCTTCATTTTGACTTCCCAAAACTTGTATGATTGTGTCTGCACAAAATTTAAGAGTTTACCGGCCGGGTGCGGTGGCTCACGCCTGCAATCCCAGCACTTTCGGAGCCCAAGGCGGGTGGATCACGAGGTCAGGAGTTGAAGACCAGCCTGGCCAAGATGGTGAAACCCTGTCTCTACTAAAAAATACAAAAATTAGCCGGGCGCGGTGGCAGGCGCCTGTAGTCCCAGCTACTCGGGAGGCTGAGGCAGAAGAATCGCTTGAACCTGGGCGGCAGAGGTTGCAGTGAGCCTAGATCGCGCCATTGCACTCCAACATGAGCAACTGAGAGAGACTCCGTCTCAAAAAAAAAAAAAAAAGAAAGAAAGAAAAAAAGAAAAGAAACCTAGTCTCTATATTTTATTTTATTAAGATAGGGTCTCATTCTATCGCCCAGGCAGCAGCGTAATGGCGCGATCTCTGCTCACTGCAATCTCCGCCTCCTGGGCTCAGTTGATCCTCCCACCTCAGCCTAGCAAGTAGCTGAGACTACAGGTGCACGCCACCACGCCGGGACATTTTAGTGGTGGACATTAGCCCACACCAGGCTGATTTTTGTCGGTTTGGGGTTTTTGTGCGTTTTTGTGTTTTGCTAGAGACGGGTTTTCGCCATGTTATCCAGGCTGGTCTCGAACTCCTAGGTTCAAGGGATCCTCCCCGCTCGGCCTCCGGAAGTGCTGAGAGTACAGGCGTGACACACTGTGCCTGGCCCCTACAAAAATTTCCTAAATTAGCCGGGTGTGGTGGCGGGTGCCTGTGGTCCTAGTACTTGGAAGGCTGAGGTGAGAGAATCACTTGAGCCCAGGTGGTCGAGGCTGCAGTGAGCTGAGATTGTAACACTGCACTCCAGCCTGGGTGATAGAGCAACACTTTGTCTCAAAAAAAAAAAAAAAAGTCCTCAACATACTGAGATGGAGTAGGGATCCCTTTCTCTAGGGGCCTGTGGGCCCCCCAACCATAGGAATAAAGGAAAATCTTGAGTTGCTTCAAGGGAAATTATAGGAATCTAGCTAGCCCTGACAGGTAAATAAGCAACTTGATAAGGAAGAAGGTAACAGTAGCCTAAAACAATAGCCCAGGAAGTTGGATTCAGGAGATGTTTGGTTCCTCTGTTAAAACTAGAGGTAATATCTTAACACATGTCTCTAAGATGTTTTTTAGAAACCCCAAGCCCCACCAAACACATCTGCTGGCACTCTGTTGCCTCATTTGTTCTAAATTTATTCCTAGGGGCCTGGAGGAGGTCACACACACAAGCAGAGCTAGTGTTCTTTTCCGCTGATCCCAAATTTTTGTTTTTTAATTTTTAAAAATTGAGATGGAGTCTCACTATATTGCCCAGACTGGTCTCAAACTCCTGGGCTCAAGCCATCCTCCCACTCAGCCTCCCAAGTCAAAGGGAAAGAAATTTTGGGATTACAGGCACACACTACCACACCCAGCTCGCCAATTTTTAGACAAAACTTCACCTCCTGAACCAACTGCAAATCAGAAAATCTTTTAATCCATCTATGACCTGTTCCCCAAGCCCCATTCCCCTACCCTTTGAGATGGCAGTCAAAACAATGCAGAGACTCCATGTATTAATTGATGACTTTGCCTGTAATTTCTGCTTTCCTGAAATTTACCCCTGCCTTTAAAAATCCTTACCTGCAAGCCATCAGGGAGTTTGGGTCTTAAGCATGAGCTGCCCCAATTCCTACAGCTGCAAAAGCTCAGTGTGGAAGTCTTGTCTTTCTGAGCCAGGCGAGTGGACCAAAGTTCAGTTCTGTAACAGTACCTTATGTTAAATGGCACAATTTGAAGCCCTCCAATCAGACCCTGCCAAGCCAACATTCCTAAGTCTTTTCCCTTGCTCTCTGGTCCCTTAAAATTTGCCCTAGACCCTAAATCAGGGAGACAGACTTGAGCCCACTCCTGTCTCCTTGCTGACCACTTGCAATAAAGCCTTTCTTTTCTCAAAGGCAGGTGCCATAGTTATTGGCTTTTGTGTGTAATGGGCAGTGAGTCCATTTGCTTGATAACATTTTTACTCCTAGTTCATTCAATATTATTTCAAGATAAAATGTAGCCTCTATTAATAGCTACTCTTAAATCCTATCTCCTTCTAATCTAAAGCATAGCTGTCCATTTCATTCTACTTAAGATTTGCTTTGTTATGTTTTGAGACAGGGTCTTGCTCTGTTGCCCAGGCTAGAATGCAGTGGCACAATCATAGCTCACTACAACCTCAAATTCCTGGGCTCAAGTGATCCTCCCACAACAGCCTCCTGAGCAGCTAAGTCTACAGGTACATACCACTACACCCAGCTAATTTTTAAAATTTTTCTGTAGAGACAGGGTTTTGCTATGTTGCTCAGACTGGTCTTGAACTCCTGGGCTCAAGGGATCCTCCCACCTTGACCTCCCAGAGTATGAAATAACAGGCATGTCAGAGCATGAGCCACATTACCCACCACCCTCACTCTACTTAAGATTTTTGGGGCCGGGAGCGGTGGCTTATGCCTGTAATCCCGGCACTTTGGGAGGCCGAGGCGGGTGGATCATGAGGTCAAGAGATCGAGACCATTCTGGCCAACATGGTGAAAACCATCTCTCCCAAAAATACAAAAATTAGCTGGGTGTGGTGGTGCACACCTGTAATCCCAACTACTAGGGTAGCTGAGGCAGGAGAATCCCTTTAACCTGGGAGGCAGAGGTTGTAGTAAGCCAAGATCACGCCACTGCACTCCAACCTGGTGACAGAGCGAGACTCCATCTCAAAAAAAAAAAAAAAAAAAAGATTTTTGCCCTTTTACCAACCTATCCTCCAAAATTTCTTTCCCTTTGACTTTTGAAACACGTTTTATGGGGTTTTCCCTAATGTGCTGAAAAACCTTTCCTTGTTCCTTCTTTTGAATTCTGATATGGTTTGGCTGTGTCCCCACCCAAATCTCATCTTGAATTGCAGCTTCCATAATTCCCACGTTATGGGAGGGACCCAGTGGGAGATAATTGAATCATGGCGGCAGTTTCCCCCATACTGTTCTTGTGGTAGTGAATAAGTCTCACGAGATCAAGATGAGATTGATTTTATAAGGGGAAACCCCTTTCGCTTGGTACTCATTGTCTCTCTTGCCTGCCACCACGTAAGACGTGCTTTTCATCTTCTGCCTTCTGCCATAATTGTGAGGCCTTCCCAGCCACGTGGAACTGAGTCCGTCAAGCCTCTTTTTCTTTATAAATTACCCGGTCTTGGGTAATTTATCAGCAGCGTGAAGATGGACTAATACAAATTCAATTGTGGTCCACCTCCCTAAATCTTTTCTCCATTCATTGTTTTTCTCTACAAACTTTCTTCCTTGGACCTTCTGCTCTATGGGCAAGGGAGAGAGAGAATTTGTCCAAATACACGAAATGGAGTTCAAGAAAATCTCATCTGATTCTCAAAGAACAGACATCTCAACTGACATCTGGCCCCACACTTGCTAATAAAAGTGCATTGGTGCATTTCCTGGCACGTCTTTGCCATTGTGCAAACCCTCCCTTCAGAGTGGCTGTGAACACGCTTGTTCATTCACTTTTATTTAAGAGTCTACATTTATTTTGGTTTTTTTTTGTTTGTTTGTTTGTTTTAATGCCTCCTCGTTAGAAAGAATGAATAACACCTCCTATTGATTGCCTAACAGGGTTACTATAGTCAATAATAACTTAATTGCACATTTTTAAATAACTTAAGGAATATAACTGAATGGTTTGTAACTCAAAGGATAAATGCTTAAGGGGATGGATACCCCATTTTCCATGATGTGCTTATTTCACAGTGTATGCCTATATCAAAACATCTCACATACCCCATAAACATATACACCTACTATGTACCCATAAAAATTAAAAATAAAATTAAAATGCCTCCTCGATACTAGGAACTATCATAGGAGCTGTACAGCAATGAACCAGACAGACTACATCCCTGTTGATATGGAACTTACATTCTAGGAGTTGGGGTGAAAAGAGGGAAATTGTGAAACATTAGAATAGGGTGGCATGAGAGTGACTGGATAGTTATTTTAGATTAATTGGGTGTCTGAAGAAGTGATAGGCACTTTTTTTTTTTTTTTTGGATGGAGTTTTGCTCTTATTGCCCAGGCTGGAGTGCAATGGTGCAATCTTGGCTCACCGCAACCTCCGCCTCCCAAGTTCAAGCAATTCTCCTGCCTCAGCCTCCCAAATAGCTGGGATTACAGGCATACACCACCAAGCCTGGCTAATTTTGTATTTTTAGTAGAAATGGGGTTTCTCCATGTTGCTGAGGCTGGTTTCGAACTCCCGACCTCAGGTGATCCGCTGCCTCGGCCTCCCAAAGTACTGGGATTACAGGCATGAGCCACCACACCTGGCCTAAGTGATAGGCGCTTTAAGCAGAGAACCAAATGCCAAGAAGCTAGCCAGCCTGGGGGAAGAGCAATCCAAGCAGAAACTACAGGTGTACAGAGAGTAAAGCAGGAATACACTTGGGCATGTTTGAGTATCAGAAAGAAGGCCAGCATGACTGAAGCCGAACTGGCAAGGGGGAATGGCACAAAAAGTCAGAG